TCTCTCGATCAGTACTGATCCCTTGATCAAGGATGTTCCTCGTATCGACAAAATCAAAGGTAACCAGATCTCCAAAAGCTTTGAGCTTTCTCTTGAATGCTCCTCGATGCGTCTTGAAGTGTTTCATCTTTGCTCTGATGCATGACTCACAGTAGGGATTCTTGTAACGATGTGTGAGTAGATGCTCGATTTTCCTGGCATCTGCTTTCAGAGTTCCTCTTCTCACCATTCTACTTGCACCGTCAACAACATCCACCTCGATGTCATCTGCATCATCATCGTCAGCTTCTGGTTCACTGTCTCCGGCGACATCTGATCCTACCTCATCTTCTTCTCCAGGAGATGCCTTGAACTTCTTATTCCTCTTTCGCCTTTTGACTTTTGGAGGTTCAATCACAGGGAGGTCGTCATCATCACACATGATTCCTTGAGGATCCACATCACAGTTGATGAAAGTCGATTGGTAATCAGCTTCATCTTCTCCTAGGGTGAACCTTGCGATCATCTCCGCCCTTGTATCGTCGGTGGGAGTACAGAAGTCACTGCCCTTGACAATATATGGGATGTTTCCCTCTACTTCTAACATGATTTTCTTGTAGTTCGGGGAAACCATGTACGGGTTGCCGCAGGCTGGCCATATGAATGTGTATCCTTCCTCCATGCATTTCTTTCCAACAGACAGTACTGAAGGAGACTCATCTAGGACGAATGGGGAGTAGGTAGAGTCAAATTCGTCGAAATGAATGTCAGCGACTCCTTTTGTGGATGTCACTCCATTTGCGGTATAGAATGACATTGATTGGTCGCTTTCTCTCACTTCCAGACCTAATTTCTTGGCTCTGCCTTTCGATATCAAATCATACCCACATCCTGTGTCCATGATGAATTTCGTTCTTGACCCTTTGGCTGGAATAGACAATGTCTTTGTGTCTGCATGATCTTTCTTTCCCTCGCATACATGAGGAATGACTTTATGATGGAAAACTAGGCCGTCATCTTCGTCAAAAGACATAGTGACCGATAGGTCACCCTTTGGTCCAACTGGTATTCGGACCCTCTTGATCTCAGTGTAGGGGACCATCAGTATGCCTCTCGCCTCTGCGACCTTTTCTTCAAATCTGATTTGTTCTTTCCTCGTGTAGCAGGTGAGCTCTTTCTCATCGTATCGTTTGATGTCCGGACGTAGAGGTTTCTTTTCTACTACCTTCCATTTGTCCCTGACTGAGTAGATCGCTTCGTTCAACATGATCTCACAAGTCTCTTCATCAAAGGATACTTTTGCACCTCCTTCTCTTGCCTTGGCGGATGCAGCAATCCCTTCATCTTCGGATTCGTCCATGAAGAGTTCACCGTCAATGGCTGGGGCTCCAGGCTTCGCCTTAGGCTTCGGTTTGGGTTTTGCCTTGGGCTTTGGCCTATCGTCTCCTGAGTCAGCTGGTGCAGATATCCCTTTCTTAGGAGAGGCTTTTGGGTCATGGTAGAACTTGCAATCCTTCCCTTTGTCACAAGTTCCTCGAATCCACATCCAACATACTGGCTTGTCATTCTTTCCGACAGAAGATCCTCTGGATGGTGATCTGGGTTTCTTGTGACTGAATGGGCAATCTTTCCCCATAGTGCAGTTACCTTTCACGAAGAATTTGCATGGTATCTTCTTCTTGTCTGTACTCGGACTTCGGCTGCGATCCTTTCCATCACCTTTACCTTTCCCCTTTCCCTTTTTGTTCTTGTCTTCAGGATGCTTCTTGGGATTGGGTTTTGGCTTCACTGCAGCAGCGTCTTCTGAGACAACCTGTTCTTGTTGCCCTTTTGGTTTCTTCTTCGGATCAGCTGGTGCAGCTTTCAGTTTTGGAGCAGGTCCGCCTGGTTTGAGATTCTGAAAGATATTGGCCACATTCTTCACTGCCTTCTCCTTTTCCAGGATCATCCTGTCTTCAGTTTGCCGTTCGATGTGCCTTCTGATCATATCACGCAGATGTTTGTATGTCTTCTTGGCATCATCGTCGTTCATGCTATTGTAGGCGCTGATGTCGTATGCCATGAGGTTTGAGTTCCTGATCTTTCTCCATAGGAGATCCCGAAGAGTTTCGTCGCTCGGGACGTCAACGGGCTTCATTCCTGCCAGAATCTCATCCCAAGTGTGAAAGAACAACGATAAGTTCTTGTCTCCTTGATATTCTAGTTGGTAGAGGTGCATTGAAGTATATAAGACTTCCACATTTGATGTTGTCTTGAAATTCATAAGGATCAGGGCTAGGACCTCTCTTCCCTTTATGAGGCTTGATGTTCTCCCTTTTGCATTGATCCTCGTCCTCAACTTCATAGCTACACCTGAACCATCATCTTTCGCATCCATGACGACCTTGGTAAGAGCTAGGCCGAGTTTGGCATCGATTGAATGGAATCTTTGGTCTCCTGAGTCGACAAACTTGTCCGGATCAGGATCGTCCATGGCTTCTTTGATCCAGTCGATCCAGGGCTCTTGATCTGAATCATTGGCCGCAATGATGATCGATTGAATGAGATTTGCCTTCCATAGTCCAAGATCATTGATCCTGGGCCATGACGGAACGTTTATCTTTGATTCTTCCTTCCTCGATACTTTCATGATTGTAGAGGTTGCCGGTGCAAGATGAGATGAAGAGGATGCTTCTGCTTCTGAAATCTTGTCCCTCAATGATTTGTTCGCCTCGGATAGCTCAATTGATTTCTCCCTTTCCTCGGCGTACTCATTGTGGGTTTCTGCATACCATTCATACATCTCATCTCGGCTCTCTGTCATTTCATTGTACCCGTCCTTGTAGTGCTTCGCCTCCTCTTTTGCGTTCCGAATCTCATCTTCCTCGGACGCGTGGGTTGGTAACCCGCGGTCTCTGGAACTAGGACGCTTGCTGTACCGAGAGACTATGGGTGCCATTCGTGCTTCTGCTTTTAATTTCGCATTTTCCATAATGACATTCTTTGTCTCCTTCTGGCTTTCTAATAGTGCATTCTCCAGTTCTCTGATCTTCTGTTGAATTTCAGCACCATCATCGCCGAACATAGGAGCTCTCATCATATTCTCTCTTTTCAGCTGTGCGTTGGCTTCGGATAGAGCGAGGTTAACGTCTTTCAATTGTTGTCGTTCACGGATGGAACTTTCTAGGACTTCGTTGTTGAATATTTCTCCTTTTGCGATAACCTCCTTTGCGACGTTTGCTTCGTATTCATGGTGGCTCGCCTTCATTTCTGCCATTTCTTTAGCAGAGACTTCAGTCTGGCGTATAAACATCTCCATCCTCATGCCCACTTCCATCTCTCCTATCTCCGCTCTCGCGTTGAGTTCAGCTCCACGTGCCATAGCTAGTTGACCTCGTAGATGATCAATAACCATAGCTTCCTGATTGCTCTGATCTTGAGATGAGTGAACACTGTGTTGAAGACGTCTTTCCCTTACCTCACTGTTCCATTGTTCTTCTCTCTGGTGTTGGATCACCTCGTGCATGTTGACATTCTCATCCTGTAGCGCAATCATTCTAGCTTGTATCTGGTCAGCTATTCCGACGAAGGCTGTGTTCTCATCCTGAATGGCTTTTGATCTTCTATTGATCGCCAATGAAGATTCATTCTGTTCTTGGATGTGTCCAATTGCTGCTTGAAGCTCTTGGGACATTCTGTCCTTCGTTGCTTTCACAGATTCAAGCTCTGAATGTTCTTGATGAGTTTCTTGTGCAAGCTCTTGATATCTCATGTAGATATGTTCAGCTGTCGATTCCGCCAAGCGTAGCTTGTGTTCGAGCTCTTCAATTCTTATTGTCGCTCCTTCATCCTCCTGTGTCATCTCCTGTAGATGTTCCTGCATCTTCCTGTTGTAGTCAGACATTTGCCTGAACTCCACTTCAGCCTCGTGGTGTAGTCGTGAGTATCCGGCTTGGATGCATTCATATTCTTGATGAAGAAAATTGTATGCGTTTCTCGCCGATCTCAATTCTTCACCCAGCTGAATCTCTCTTCTTTGCTCTTTTGTTCCTCTATCATCGTCACGTCTCTTCTCTATACTCCTTCTTGGGGATCTCGCGGTAGACGTTATAGGCGATGTAGATCTTGTTGTAGCTCTCATCGATCTTCTTGGTCCTACGGGTGCAAGATCGGTCAGATTCCGAGCCGGTGGCACGGATCTTTCCGAGATTTGTGATCCAGTAGGCATAGTGATAACGTCAGCATTTGCTGATGAATCAGTACCCATTGTAGAGTCTGGTGACGAAATGGTGTTGGGACCACCAGGAGCAGCGAATGAACAGGGTTCGCTTCCATTTCCTCCTGAGCTTGACATTGCAGGTTTCTGTAATGACTAGTCTTGTTCTTGGTCTCGTGTAGCTCGTACGGCTATAAAGAGCGCGTACGGCTGATAACCTGCGAGTGGATCTTAATCAGCGAAGTTTGAAGCTATCACTGACGGTCCATAAGCGGCGTAGCGTCGGAACGGAAACCGCACCTTTTCTAGTCGCTTGATCCTTGAGCCAAAGTACATATGGTATATATATATATATGTACAAGTTGCACTGTACGTGTCGCTGCACTTCCATTCGCACAAACCAACATGGAATTCTTTAGTTCCCTTCGGGGTGTCACTGGGATTGGTCCCTGTCCATGTGCCACTGTGCCATTGGCCGTAAACCTCAAAGGTTGATGAGCTTGTAACATGAAGGACCTCCAATTGAAGAGTTGTCCTCCACATCTTCTGCCTGTGTGGCACTCGCCCTAAGCGGCGTTGAAGGGTGCGTGGATTGGATCATACTCCAAACGAGGCGCTTATCGTCTTCAACAGTCTGCACTTACTCCACTCATCTCCCCCGATGTCACCCATGTAAAGGATTCATTAGTTTACCTTTTCCATAAGTTGTCCCGGTATCTCCTTTATGCAGACTGGCACGAGGTAAGAAGCAGCCCAATGCTTCGACCGGACAATTCTCGTCACCAGAAGACCTTTCGGTGGACCATGTGCGTTGGACCCACCCTGCCTTCAAGGTCTGCTGTTGGACCTGCTGGGGACAGAGTTCCGTCATGTCATGCACGTAGATTGGCGTTCAAACCCCCCTTGGCCAAGTGGTTTCTTGTACCAAATGCCAGTGCTAAAACAGCTCTATATAGTGCCTTTCCAACAAACAATTTGGCAAATCTGTTGATCCCGCTTTGGGACAGGATGCGCAACAGACAGCACTGGCACCTGCAGCTCCAGGCATAGCAGCCTGCACACGGAGCGTGGGACAAGCAACGTTGGCTTATATAGTAGGGTGGCTTTGCCCCGCAGGATGGACATGCTCTTCTTTCGGATCTGTTCAATCACATCACCTGCTTGGTGAGCGGCAGGTGGCTGTTTTTTCTTTTCTGTGTTCAAAACACACCTGTGAGCTCCAAGCTTTATGTCTCGCTGACAGGTTCACGACAAAGAAGGCCCATTATCATTCGTGCTTGTTTCAATTCATTTGGCACCTGGCTGGCTGCTCACATGTGAAACAAATCCCTTAGGTTGGTAGACAATGGCAATGCTGCCAAGGCAAGATTCAAGCTCATGGAATGCATTTCAGCTCCGCAAACAAAATCACAGTGAGTTGAAGCAATCAGCAATCCGCCTAATCACCAATAAGTGTCCGAACATCAAGAGACTCCTGCCACCCTCCCAGGGTGCCCGATGACGACCGCACGGTGCTCCTCCAAATGTTGGAGGAAAGGTTGGCCCGGAAGAGATCCAGGTTGATAGACTGGAGCAAGCGTGGCCCTTTGAGACTGCAAACAGCCCGAACTTGCTCTCTGCTATCCACAAACATAGCGAGTGTGGTTTTGGAGATCTCCACCAAACAACCTTTCTGAAGCCTCGCAAACTTCAAGCCCCGCGTCTTTTATCGAAAAAAATCACAACAAATGAGGTTGGTTCGGTGTTGAATCCAGCTAACTAAAGGGCTTTTATCGATTAAACGTTTGACATTCAAGTCAAAGCTGCGAAGCTTGATCTTTTTGACTAATAGTATTGATCCTTGGAATTCCGAGCCTGGAAATGCCTGGAGCTGCAATGTTAGTTCTTTATCTGTGTTGCTTTCTGTTTTGCTACGTAGCTCATGGAGTTTTGCCATGCATCTACATGTACAAGTGTATAGATGCATCATGGTTTCCTCCTTGTTTTAAGTTTTGCTAGGTAGCTCCTTTTGGAGTTTCGCCATTGATGTACATGTACATGTGCATACATGCATCTTGGTACCAAGATCAGCTTGAAACTTGGCACACCGGGGCTACCCACCAAAGCAAATCATTGGAGATTCTGAAAGCGGTTCGACTGAGGTGGAGATGCACTTGAAACAAGCTGGCAAGATGGTGGCCCATAGCATCCACCTGGCAGAATGTGTTGGTTGAGCTTCGCTTGATAGATGGGCGTGAACCACATGGGCCCATTTGCAGAGCCCCGAATGCAAATGGTAGCTTTACAAAGAGGCCATTGTGGAGTTTTTGCATTTATGTATGTGGGTAAACAGAATCAAGCGAAAGGAACAGGCACCATCTTGTTTTCCACAGGCTTCAAGATCTGGCTTTGTTTTCTTGCAAGTGAGGGGTTGCCCATTCTGCCAGCTTTGGCGGGTTGCGCATGGCAGTGCAATAGGTAAGCAAGTTCATGATTCGCGATACTGCAGACTGCAGATTCAAAAATGAAGAATGTTCGCTAGTCTGCGACATGTTTCTTCTGCCCACCACCCGTAGATGTTCTTCCCGCAGGCGCCTTTTCTTGTCCTGAGCTTTGCTATGTAGCTCCTTATGGGGTCTTGACATTTACGTATATGTACAAGTGTACAGATGCATCATGGTGTCTTCCTTGTTTTCGGCTTTTCTAGTTAGCACCTTCTGGAGTTTTTGCATTTGTTATATATATATATACGCCAAGTATACATATGTACCGTGGTTTCCTCCTACCAGAAGGCTTGAAACTTGGCGCACCGGGCTATTTACCAGAGCCATTGGATACTTTGGAAGCGGTCAGACTGAGGTGGAGATGCACAAAATGCGCTTGAAACAACATGAGCACAGGCCACCATGAGCCGTGGAGTTTTGCAAGCTGGCCACTTGCAGCAGCTCTACACACTCAAGCCGAAGAAGCCATAGAAGCCACAAAGGCCACCGAAACCAAAAGCCACCAAAGCCACAAAATGCACAGAGGCTACAAAAGCCACAGAAGCCACAGAAGCAACGATAAAGGAAGCCAAAAATAGAGACAAACAAAATGTAGGAACCAGGACGCTACTAGGAGCAAAGGGCATCGCTACTAAGGAGCAAGGACGCTACTAGGGGCTCCTGGCCTTACTACTAGGAACAAGGACGCTACTAGCATCGCCCTCCATTCCTGGGGTCCAGCGATGTAGAGCATCCCTCGCCTGGCCAATTGGCCGCACTGTTAAAGCCTTGGCACAGCCGAAGAGTCAGGTCTGGTTCCGATGGAACTCTGGTTTTGTCCAACAAGACCCTCATTGCGCTGCCCAAACAGCTCCAGACCATCTGTGTAAAGCTGTGCTTTGGAAGAGGGAGCCCGATCTTGGGTATATTCCAGGCAGCATTCTGAGGGGTTCCAAGTTCAAACCCAACAATTTGCAACACCTGAACATTCTGAAACGTTTGCTGTTAAGAAAGAACCTCACTAGAAAAGTCATCAGATCACCTCACAGCCCATGTCATCAAACACACCTCATTTCAGAAAAATCCACTCCAACTGTCAGCTGCTCCTCCACTCCACCTTATCAAAACCCCAGCCGAACACTAGCCAACACTCTTTGGCAAAGCACGTGAGCGGGGAGCAGAGACTTCCGCATCGAGGTCCAAACCAAGTTGTGAACCTCATCGCCATCGGCGTTTTTGGACGCAATGGAACGTTGGACTACATGACGCAGGCATCACAGCATGTTTACACTGCTACTTTGGTTGAGATACAGGAAATTGGTCAAAGAGGAGATGTGGTCTGAGGTACTCTTGAACTTGTTTCCTCTCGAGTGGTGATTTCAGTGAGTCCCCTTTCTTTAAAGTCATGTGTACAGCCCAAGGCAACTGTGAATGCAGAATCATACGGCAACCCTGCAAGGTCAAGTCGATCGCGTGTTTGAGCGCTTTGGTTCGCCAAGTTCTGGCTCACAAAGCAAATGCTCATTCTCCCAAAGCAATGGGCTACACTTAGCTCCACTGCTAGCCACCCAAAAAGCATGAGCCATAGATTAACTGATTAACATGAGCCATGGTGAGGGTATTTTAGTCATGTTTGTCCCCAACAAGGCATCTTTGCAGCATTGTTTCTTCACACACGCTAAGAACCCCTTCAATTCAAGGGGTGAGCGAGACGCTTGCTAGGGGCGCTTGAAGGTTGGATGTCACGAACCTACTAGTGATGGCCTCCAACCTACTAGCGTCCTTGCTCCTAGTAGCGATGCCCTTTATTACTATATAGTAGTTTCTTGCTCTTGGTGATATGGCCAGGAGCCCCTAGTAGCGTCCTTTGCTCCTACTAGTGATGGCCTCCAACCTACACTCTCGAAAGTCAAAGATGTCGACGTCGATGTCAACGATGCAAGTCCACGCGAAGCATCTTGTGCGTCATCGGAATGATCTTGTGAACAAAAGTGCCGCTACCGATTGATAGTCATGGCACCATCTCGAGCTACCTCTCAAAGCTCCACTATGAAACTCTGCAACAAAGGTAGAACTGGCTGAGGCCACTCTTCAGGTGAAATCCGGGCGCCGGCCACGCGTTCCGTGCCCTAGCCGGAGGCCATCGGTTGGTAACCGAAGGACCTCCCCCCCAGTCACCCTGGCAACATAAGCCAACAACCCTGGCAACATAGGCCAACATACGGACAGGATGACCTAACATCGGCCAACATGTGGCAACATGGATGTGGTGATGGATGTGAGGTCGTTTTAGAAGGCCCGTGGTGCGAGATATGCTGCCCGAGTGGCCTTGCATTATTAGCACGGTGTTCTTTAGCTGGCTCTCTGGCTCTTTTCTTCTACCGGAGGAGAAAGAGCACGGACTGGACATGTCCGAAGACTATGTGCTTTATGGTGTTTTCGGGGCTGCGGAGAGAAGTGTGTCTGGTGTGGACATGTCCAAAAACCATGTGCTTTACAGAGTTTTCGGGGTTGCGGAGAGAAGCGTCTGGGCTGGACATGTCGGAGAGTCAACCTCTACAGGACAGTCCGCCTCCTCCTCGCACAGAATGCTGCCGGGGTCTCCCACCCGTTTTCTCCCTATCGCTTCCTTCTCCTCATCCCTGCCCCGGCACCTGGCTGTCAGGCGTAAGCCTTTAAATCTTGCATCCGAGGCACGCAAAAGTTCTTGCTGGGCTAAGGATCGCATCTGCTGGCTTAGCGCTTCAGTTTCATCTTGCTCCAACCGGTCCACTGGCTGGCCTGCCAGTAGGCAGCTCGAAAAGCCAAAACATGTTGCACTTTAAAAGCCAGGCACTCTGTCTGTCCAGGATTCTTTTAAGGCAACTTTCCTCGATGCCAGTCCCAGCTGATGTTTGCAGCTCCTGTCTACATGTGTCGTAGAATGTCAAAATCTCCGAACATGGCTGTCTTAGAATAGAGTGCATCTAAACAAACCCCTTTGAACCGATTGGCTGTCCCTCCATGTTGGATTGTGAAAACTTCACAACATGGAACAAACCCCGCTCAACTAGCTTTGATAGTCATAGACCACTGGTTTCTACTATTCTATACTGAGTGATGAGTGCGGGTTGGAATTTGGATGATGATGGCTGCCATCATTTGAATGGTGTCACTCCCACCATGATTGTTCTTATTGGTCAGATTCACATGCGAGATCAACGTTCAGCCATTGGCCCAGCTGTTTGTGGGAATAGGCTGTTCCGACCAGACTTGGTCAGGTGGATCACTTGATGGCCACCTGGCCTGGAATGCCCAGCTTCAATAAGTCACCCAATCGCATCGATGAGGCCTGTGATGGCGAGAACGGATCCTCTGCAAAATTACCACGGCAGCAGCAGAAAACAACAAGAAGCTACTAGTTAGTAGCTAGGACGCTTGGAGGCCATCGCTACTGGGAATAAGAAGCTACTAGTAACAAGGACCTGGTCGATTGCCCTTCCCCTGGATGGGAGCACGAAGGATACTTCACCTGATACCCCCTTCCTGGTCTCTGGGATCATTTAAAGCAAGTCGGAAAAGATCAACGTCTAAACGCCCAAGTGAATTGTCTGTGATCCTCAGTGCAAGGTAGGATATGATTTCACTCCCAGTATACCGGAGGCCTCATAGCTCTCCCAAAGTAGAGACTGATCAGTAGGGTTTGTGAAAATACACGATGTTATTGTTGTTCGAGAATGTTGATGGTGTCCTGTTCTTCCGATTCTTCCCTGAGAGTTTGCCCACGATCAGTCTCGCCTTCCCTTCCTCTGCAATACTCTTCCTGGGCTAGTCAGACGTTGCAAGAAGCTCCAAAAGAAGCATCAAAGGAAATATATTGGAATGAAAGGGGAGCTCCATGGATCAATCACTTTGAACAAAATCACGTCATGCCCAAGACAGGCATATCAATACTTCTTCTGCAGCTGCCGTACTCAAGCAACGCACTTTCTGAATCGGCATGCGTGGAAAAGTTGCCAATCAGCGATATAGTGGCAGCAGTAGTAGCACCCCTTTACTTCTTTACAACGTGCTTTAAGAGGTTTGCAGCTCATCGGCTGCTGTAAGAGGTCGCGAATTATGGCTGCCTAGCCTGAATCGATGGATGGCCCCCCGAAACATCGAAAAGGGATAAGGAATCTCTTGTAGCGAACATTGTTCCTACTAGTAAGGCACTTGTTACTACTAGCGTGGCACTTGCTCCTAGTAGCTTCTTGTTCCTAGTAGTAAGGCCAGGAGCCCCTAGTAGCGTCCTTGCTTCTACGTAGTACACAATATACAAGTTTTCTGCTCATATCTGTCAAATTCACGTGTTCTCCGCCTCACGACATTCCGGGGGGCCACCTTGTAAACCTATAGGCAGTCATGCTTAATATTTCAGGTCAGGATTATGCTTCAGTTGTGGGCCCAGCCAAGGCATGCCCGGCGTGCCCAGCATGCCCGGCTGACCTTGCCCCAAACATGTCTCATGCACGGTCATCCTCTGATGTATCACCGCCTGGGCAAACAGAGGTGGAGACCTCGGCACTGGTGGAGGTCTCAGAAGCCAAGACTTCACCCATAGCTTGGCCCGCTTTCAGACCTTCCTTGCTGGATGGATCATGTCCACAGACCCGTTTCCCATAGAAGGCGACTTTCAGGATCGCCCAGTAGCTTACACAAGAGTACATCACCAGGCTTGGCCACATCAAGATCCAATCCTTGAAGTTCTGGCAGAAGGTGGTGTCCTCAGCACCTTGTGGCTTCATCTTCAAGTGGTAGATCAGCTTGCATCCTTCTTTGTCCAGGTAGAAGAAGATCATGAAAATGATGTAGGTCCATGCAAGGCTTGAAAAGCCTGCAATCATCACTCCGGTGTTTTCTGCATCGGACAATGGGTACTGTCCTGTATGTGCTGCCATGTCATCGATCGTGCTGCGCTTTGCATTCACCAGGGCATAGTTGATGAAACCTGCAAGTCCTGTCGTTTAAAAGACACAAACAAACAATAGAAACTGTATACACAATCTCAGAGCTCAAACATTTGCAAATCCCAACACTGTTATGCCAAACCCGAAACGGTCACAGGGTTGGCAGCCAACGAAACGGGTCCTGTCAGGGTCAAGGAGCACAAAATGAAACCATAGTAGATCACGAACCTTGGATTTGTTGAGAAATAGACACTAATCAGCATCATTGGGGAACTATCAAAAATTCACAACCTGATCAGTCATCTCAGGGAGCCAGGTGCCGTAGGACATCGCAGCCGAGCAGTTGTAGCGGCGTCGCTTCACCACAAAGTAGTGGAACACCTCGCAGGCACCGATCGTCCATCGCTCGGATTGACGGAACCACTCACTGAACTCCTCACATTGCGTGGTGCCAGAGGTCGGTCCAGAGATCACCGGCATGGGGATCATCAAGATTTCAACACGCTTCTGCAAGGCTTGCATACATGTGAGAGTATAGATGATGTCCTCGGCCAACCAAAAACAAGCATCCAACCAACAAATGTCTAACAAAGAAACCATGCCATGGTAGATGAAAACGTTTTGAGGGATCTACAAGAGGCCCGAGAGACCCAACTCAAAGACCAAAGATTAGTCACGACCACCTTGAGCAATGCTGGGTGTCATCCATCTGGTAGTGCGCGTGGAAGAACTCACCTTTGCCGCATGTCTTCAAAAAATCTCACTGACTTGATAGTCTTTGTCAAACAACACACATTATGTGAGCATATACGGCAAAAATGGACAGCAAACGAAGTCGCGATGTTGTGCAATCGCAACTTTTCAACAGCTCAGATTGATGTTAAAACCAAACAATCAATACAGACTCCGCTGTTGAGCCCGCCTTTAATACAAAGGTCCAAAGAGAAGCTGAAGATCGACATCGTGTTGATGTTGAAAGGGATCAAGAAGCCAAGCATGTAGGCGGCACGCATGATGCCAATGGCACGGACATAGAAGGGGCGATCCTCTGATGTTCAGAGCGGCATCGCTACGAGCGGAGCGATCGGACGCTACTGATGAGGTAAGAAAAGAACAAACCCTCTGAGGTTCATCTTCTTTCTCCCGGGCTCCCTTTGGGCCGCAATACAGATGCACAAGTCCGCACTTTGTACCAAAAGCCTTTTCCTCCCTTCTGTCCATTCCTGCGTATCATGCCTAGGGCCTCTCCAGACCACTTCAAACAATCAAGATGCTTTACATTCACAAACTCACAAGAAATGATCAAGCTTGCTCCCACAGAAGGCCTTAAGAAAACAAATGTCACCGACATGTTCTTTTTGTTTCCACAAAGAGGTCAATTCTTTGAGAGACTTTCACCCGCAAGAAGACTTTTCCTTGCAGAGGCCACTTCCTGCAATGCAAAAATGACCCAGACAGAGTTCTTCGCGCTCAACCATTCGAAGAAATGCTTGGGCGTGGAGTTGGCTATTAAATTGATTTGTCCAAGAATGTCAATAGATAACTGGTTTCTCTCTTTCTTTTTCTTTTTTCTCTCTCTCTCTCTCTCTCTCTCTCTCTCTATCTCTGTTGATGGCACAATGCTGACGACAAGTGCTGGACCAAACGAAACGGGTGGACCCGTTGGTGTGTTGAAGTACATCCGGTGTCATCTCTGTTCCAGAAACAACTCCAGGCTCATTTATGGCACGGGCTATGTAGGCAATTGGAACTTTACGCGCGCCCTCACATTTAACAACTGCTGCGCCGCTGGCCAAGTTGAGATGGGACCGATATCATCCCCCCTAACTGTTTCCAAGCTACGCCTGAGAGCAGTGTCGATGATGCAAAGCATGTTGACGACATCACTTGCATTATCAACAATCGGTTTTCTGCATCGCACGCAGCAACAAGATTTACAGGGGAGTAAATAGCATGCAGGTGCTATCTTGGAACATGTTAGATGCGCGTTCCAGAGTTTGAAGGATTGCATGTGGAATTGTTATTGTTCCTTAGAAGTTCAAGGGGCAGTCGCTTGCCTTCAATCCAAAAAGCAGCTGAGTGTTTTCCCAAAGTTTAGAGAGGTCAGTCTTTGGCTCACTGCAAGCCGGACGCCGTGATAGGCCAGATTGGGCCCATGAGGGAGCATGAGGGAGAGGATGTTGCAGGCGGTACTGAATACAATGCAATTTCGGGCAAATCTTGCTTGTCGCTTCCAGGATTGAGCAGCCCATGTCTTGGGCTCTGCACTGGACGCATGCAGAAGAAGTCTTGAGATTTTCTGATGTATGTGCAAACAGAAGGAGCCAAGCAACAAGTCTTTGGAGTTGCTTCTGTTGGGAAATGAACATGGTCAAGGAATGCGCAACCTGCAAAGCAGAACTCTTGCTTTTCCTGGCTTGGCCAGGGCATTCCTTTAAGTTTCTTGAGGCACCGTGCAAGCAAGGCATTTTGCATTATAGAGAGAAGATGGATCCAAAGGCTGCAAGGCAAGGAACGATGTACAACGAGAGTTGCGTGTCATGTTGACATTTCATTTGTCCATTCTCGACTCCCACCCAGGCCCCTGTGTCATGCTTCACAGAGCTGTGTCCCTGGAGATAAATAAATTCAGTTGAACAATGTGTTGCAAATACCATATGTTGATATGAAGCAAAGACACATTAATCAGTTTGTGGGCGTCAATTGTGAAAACTCAAGTTCAGCACACCTGGTCAAGCTGCTCTGGTGTTCTGGGCGGCAAGTTCGGGGGCAAAAAGAAGCTTAAAAGACCTGCATTGGACTTCCAAGGCGCATTCAAGTAGTGATTGTAGTAGAGCGGTGCTTGCCACACAACCTCTTTTGCCTTCTTGGAAGTGAGGAACTGATAGCCAAGGTTCTCAAAATAGCGTGGAGCGAAGATGGAGTCCGTATCGCAACTGGTGGCTGTGGTGCAACTCAAATCCAGATCGCCATACTCCTCCAAGCGTGTGACTGCTGCACGCATGGTGTAGTTGGCATTGGAGCACTTTCCTCGGATCTCGCGGCCTCCAGCAAGGTGCATCGCTACTAGTAACAAGAAGCTACTAGTAACAAAGGGCATTACGACAAATGTGATTGAAAAACACTGGACTCCACGGATCTCACAGCCTCCAGCCCATTGCTTTGGATGCTTTGTGACATGGAAACGCTTGAAGGACCTTGCATAGCGCTCCTTCAACCGGGCAGCCTTCTCAGCCACATCGGGCGTACCTTCCTCGAGGCCAATCACCACGATGAGCCGGTGGGCAGTACTTTGTGCTGCCAAGGAGTCGATTGACTGGCAAATCACTTCCATGGGCTCTTTATAGCCGCACATCATCACCAAGTGCTGCAAGTTGTCTGCCAAACGTCGCTCCTCTTCTGTGTTTCGAGGGATTTTGTCCTCCCAAGTGTCATCCACCACCCTGTTCATGAGGTAGTTGGCTTGAAGCGAGCGCCAGGCACACACCGTCAAAAGGAATGCACCAAGCCAACCCACAAAGAGTCCATAGACAGCCGCAAAGATGGGACAAAAGATGTCAATCCACAAGGGAAGGGGGATGATGATGAAGTCGAAAATCAAAAACCTGGGAGCGATAGCGAAACGGAGAAAAAGAGAAAACACGATATCTCAATCCCGTTTAGGTGGCCAGTCCCACTCACTTCATTGACCTCCCGAGAAAAGCACGTCCCCTCACTGTATAGCTTGGTTGCACGGGCGCTATTCGTGTGAGCCGATTGTGACAAGAGGGATTGGATCATTTGGATCCTTTGGATCAGGCCAAAGAACAGCAAGTTCCATCGCATGATCACAAACTCATTCTCCTTCACCACCTGCTGCTTTTCATCCACCGCATACTGTCCTCGAGGTGCCGTGGTAAAAATCCTCTGCCACCATGATGGTTGCTTCTGCGCCTCTGGCTGCGCCGACATGGGATCCAATCCTATCAAATCCTGTCAAAACCTTCGCCAACAGGCACTTGAGCTCACAATTTTCACGTGCCAATTCACCTTGTCCCGCAAACAAGTTGTCAAGTTCTCAAGCATGCAACGCAAAAAGCACGGTCTGCATTGAATTTCTGGCAAGTCCTGACAGAATTCCAAGCTCGATCGCCCATCCTGAGACCCCTTGAATTGAACTAACTGGCACTAGCGACAGACTTGCAGTTCTTCCCCGATCACCAATGCGGTCAAGGCACTTCCGCGTCGGGCGGGAGACCTTCTTTGGGGAAGCAAGGTCTCGCAGCCAGCGTTCCTGCGTTGACAACAAGTCCAAACAGCCTATTGCATGAACATCCTGAACTCACCTCACATGGGTTTGTCACACATGAGAGGACGGCTTCCTTGCGGCTGCCATTTATGATTCTATGATGACCACCCGGCAAACAAGGGGTGCTCATATACTCTTCTGAGAATAATTCCAACTGAAAGAGCGGAGGTCACTTGGGCTGTAGATTCTCAGCCACACACACACAGATTCACCCACTACAACTTTGTGAACCCAGCAAGTGTTGCTCTGCGCATTGCGACCTGCGTTCGAGGGGTGATTTGCTGGCAACTGAGCAACCCGACGTCCATCTTGGATGCTCCTGGAGTGATTGTCGTAGATGAGGTAGAGAGGGAGTTTATTTCATGAAGAATCCAAGGTGGGTCAACATCCATCAATTCCATGTCCAATTCTTAGCGTTCCGACTCTCATTGAAGGGTGTTTTTTCTGCATCTTGCAAATGCAGGCTTTGCACAATACGTTTGACAACAGTAGGACGATGTCCTTCAGCTTCTGCAAAACCGGCCTCAAAAGGATTGACCACTTAGGAAAGAAATAAAGAAATCATCCCACTGCAAAAACTCGCAGCTGTAAACCAAAAACTGATTTGGCAACACTGTTTTGAGAGCTTTTGAGCTCCCTTGTCTGGAATACCCCAAGAGTTGGATGTCCAATCTGCAAAGATCTGCAAAAAAATCCAGCAAAACTTGGAAGAGAGAGAGAGAGAGGGCCGAGAGTCCGAGAGGGCTGAAGTTCCAGACACCTTCTGAAGCATGTCACATCCTGTCACCATGAAAAGCTATGGGTTGGAGGCAATCGCAATTAGGTTGGAGGCCATCGCTATTAGGTTGGAGGCCATCGGTGGAGGCCATCGCTATTAGGTTGGAGGCCATCGCTATTAGGTCCCTATG